TAAAAGCATTTCATCATTTCCAAGAAAATTCCTCACATATACAGATGGCATGTTCCTTCAAATCATAAGCACTGTCATGTGTGTTCTATGAGAGCACCACGTGCAGAGCACCTCTCCTCCTTCCATTAACTTTCTCCTTTTTTGTGTGCACACATGCATATCACAATAGATTCAACAGCATTTGAGACAGGAGATGTTTTCTGCTTTCTTACCTGTGTCCCATCTCTGTTTTATAAACCAGGATGGAATTTTCAACAGATAATAGGAGCATGCAATTCAGATAAAAGCTGTTCAGTTTTTGGTATCTAATTTTCGGGTGCCCCCATTTCATTTTTTTCGGGAACTGCCCAAATTTAGGAGGGGAAAAATACCATTTATCGTTCCACCAGCTGGAAGTTCTACTTTTTGCTCAGGGAAAATCAGACCCATTGATGGCAATGGGGGAAATCCCCATCATTTTAGGGTTATCAGGATTAAAATGGCCACACTTGAAGGGCACATTTAACACTGCAGGACCACCAAGTTTCAGAATGGTTCGGTGTTCCACTGATATTTAGAAATTCTTAAAGTTTCTAGAAATAAAATCTCCTTTACAAACTCCCAAAAAGGTAACCCTTGGAATTTCTCCATGGTAACAATATAGGAGCAGCAGCAGGGCATAATTCCTGCCAACTTTCATAAAGATCCACACATTCCACAATTTATAGTATTTTAAAAGTTTTTTTATTAATAAAAACAAATACTGTTCCTAAGCTTTTGCATTTCTACAGGATTGTCAAGCCAGGTGAATTGGGGCAGGAGTAGACACAAGCCAGAAGGTAGGGTAGGGAAATAAATGAGTCAGTCAAAGAGGTGAATGAGAAGAAGAAAGGACTTTTTTTTGTAAAAATAAATAGACATTTTTTGTGTGTGTGGGTGGGGGAAGGTGCAGGGAAGAGTACAGAAGATAGAAGATAGATAGGGTCAGGGAGAGATTAAATTCTCTTTATGGGGAATCCCCCTTCCTTCTGTAAACCACCCGACACCACAATGGTAAAAAATATTTAAACAAACATTCCCAAAAATGCCTTTCCAGAGCCCCCCCCCCCAAATGCATGCCCACCCTACTTCCTTAGAGAACAGCAAAATGAATAACTGAAAGATATAAAATGAATAAAATTTAATAAAAGGAAAAGATTGTCATTGAGTCCAAAAGCAATCCTAAGCAATGACAGAACTTAGAACACTGAACTAGCTAGCACAGAAAGTGGAGAAGCTTGCCCTGGTATATATGGACCAGCTTGCCGAAAATACACATGATCTTCTTTGTTATTCTAATTGGCTCAGGCAAGGCTAAGGGGGAAATCTCCTGTCCCCCTGCACATGCGGCTGCTGCCATAACTATCCCCAAAACCAGCAATTTTGGCAGCCACATGGTTTGTTCGTTTCTGGAGATTTGGTTTCCAAAACTTCTGGATTTCCTAGATCTCATATTGCAATGTTTCCTATATTTATATTTAACTAGCTACTTTTATCACTTTAGCGGGGGACTCAGGGCAGATTACAATGTACATGTACATGCCAAACATTCAATGCCATAGATACACAACATATACAGACAGACACAGAGGCAATTTAACATTCCAGCTTTTCTTGAGGGTATTTTGGCCACAAGGGGAGCTGTCCCTTCACTGACCATTTGTGACACTGATGAGGTCCTTCCTCATTCTTTGCATGCTTGCTGGAGATTTTTATGGCCTCGTAAATTAGTTAAATTTGCCTCCCCGCATAAGCGGTACCTAAATTTCCTTCTTGACAGATGCAACTGTCTTTCGGGCTGCAAAGATTGACAGCAAGCTACACAAATTGGTCGGACACTCACTCCGACCCGGGCTGGCTTTGAATTCATGACCTTTTGGTCAGTTGACTCCCAGTCAGCCGCTCCACAGTCAAGGTGCAAAAGATCCTGAGACCTATGAGTTAGCCAATACATAGGCAAATTTCATTGATTTAGTAGGTCTGTTGTGGGTGGCACAATGGGTTAAACCATTGTGCTGGCAGGACTGCTGACCGAAAGGTCAGTGGTTCGAATCCGGAGAGTGGGGTTAGCCCTTGCCTGTCAGTTCCAGCTTCCCATGCAGTGACATGAGAGAACCCTCCCACAGGATGGTAAAACATCCAGGCGTCCCCTGGTCAAAATCCTTGCAGATGGCCAATTCTCTCACACCAGAAACGACTTGCAGTTTCTCAGGTCGCTCCTGACACACAAAAATGGGTCTACTCTATTCACACTTTACAACACACACCGATATCTGATGCAAACAAGATAGATGACATTAATTTTTTATATGCAACATTTGAAAGTTTGAGCCTTATTTCAGTACCTCACCTGTAAATCAACCGAATTACAATATAATATAGATATACATTTTTAATAGGAGGCATGGATCTGTGCATTTTTATTGAGGCTATAGAAATTTGAATTACATTTAATAAAACTTGGAAATGAGAAAATGTCTGCTTATCTTCCCACTCTGAGCACACCAATTCATGTGTGGTATCAGGAAAAAATATTGTAACATATTGACCTAGCTTGCATGTAATATAAGAATGATCAATTTTTATTATTACAGCCCTTAAACCCAATGCACTAAAATTGGGAACATGTAAAACAAATTAAGGTCATAATAACCATTTGGGATCACAGTGCCAGAAATAAGGAACCCATACAGGTTTCTTTTAACAAAATCCAAAGTGTGATTAGGATCTATAAATCCCCGACTCACATCCAGGCTATTTAGTAGCTCTCACTTCCCAGTATAAACCTGTCCAAACCTCCGGTGACATCCTTCTCTTGATCCTACCACCATCATAAGCATGGTAAATAGGGACATGAGAGAGGGCCTTCTTGGTGTCTACCCCTCTTTTCTGGAACTTTTTGCCTAAGGAAACCAGAATGACCCCCTCCTTGCTGTATTCCAGTGGCAGGCTAAAACCATTTTATGTAGACATTCTTTTAAGGATGAAAAATTTTAAGTCCAAGCCAAGTCCTTGGTATATGTCCTTGGTATATGTATTCCCACCCCCACCCCCTAGATTGAATGGTTTTAATAGTTTCAGCAGGCTAAAGTGGCCGGCTAAAACTTGGAACCTCAAGCCATGGCTGATACTGAATGAGAGGCTCCCCTCAGGCACACAGAAGACTGGGTGACTTGGAAGGTGCTGAACAAACTGTGCTCTGGCACCACAAAATGCAGAGCCAACCTTAAGAAATGGGCCACAAAGTGGAGTCCACAACATACGAGTGTGGAGAAGAACAAACCACAGATCACCTATTACAATGCAGTCTGAGCCCTGCCACATGCACAATGGAGGACCTTCTCATAGCAACACCAGAGGCACTCCAACTGGCCAGCTGCTGGTCAAAGAACAGTTAGTACAATGTCAAGTTTCTTTAAATTTTGTGCTTTTTAAATACTTTACAACTGTACCCTCGGTTTACTTCTGATATGATAACAAAAATAAATAGTTTCAGATATTTATTTTTAATATTCCTAGTATTAATTCTCTTTTAGTGTTTGTGTGCTTTAGGTTTAAAATTGTACATTTTATTGCTTTCATTACTGTGCACCTCTTTGAGTCTCTTTTATGAGAGAAAAAGCAGCATATAAATCATTATCATCATCTATAAGAATAATTTTGGTGTGAATTTCAAGACTCTTATGGTTTTTGTACCGGGATAGTTAGTGAAACCTATCCATTTCTGGTTCAAAATCATCTCAGCATCATCTGAGAACTGGGGTTCATTCAAACTATTTTTGAGATCAAATTATGTTATCTGAATCTGATTCATTATCACACTAATGTTTTAAAACTGGTCATTGTTTCAATTCTAGAAATGGAATCATAAATGCATAGTTTATGGACTAAATTGGCAAGAGCCATAGTTTATGGACTAGATTGGCAAGAGCCAATCTAGTCCAATGCCATGCTGCCATCCAGTAATACTGAAACAGCCCTTGAGCTTCTGTTTAAAAACCTCCAGATAAGACATTTCCTTGATCTACCAAATTTGCCATTGAAGGAAGGGAAGGAGAGGGGGAGTGGGGGGGGGGGGGGGGGGGGGGGGAGAAAGAGAGAGAAAGAGAGGTGAGTAGCCTGCCAACCCACCCTTGGTTCTTTTGTACTTTTCTTTGCAAGAGAAAGTTGATACAGGAGTAGTCTCAAAATGTCTGCCCTGGGAATGCATTGCTAGAGTTTCCTTGTAATCTAAAACCATTTTGATCAATTCTGGAATATTTTAAAATTATTATTTCCATCTAATTGTTGCCTCGTTTTGTGTCTGATAGTCAATGTTATAAAATGGAGCCAGGGATAATACATAGATTGCAATAGTTAATATCCTCTATTAGTGTCGTGTAGAGTTACAATTGGTTGCGCTATACAACCTCTGTGTTAAATGGGAATGTTGTTCAAATGAATGCACATTCAATATGCAAATGAATGCACAATGAAATGTATGTAGACATTCTATCTGAATCACATCTGCAAGTGTCATGGTACTACATATGCAACTTTGTTTTGGCTACCTTGAATTGAATTCAACTGGTTTCTGCATTGATCTAAAATCTTCAGCTACTTTTTAAATAGGAAATATGTGTAATATGTACAACTGTGAGATTTTGGCTAACGTCATGTCAGATGCTGTCATTTCCTAGTCATCATGAAGGAAAGAAGAGATATGTGAAATGCCTTGGTTTGCTCAGCATCTAAACAGAGATGAACCATTGCTTTATTTCATTCCCTATATGGTCAGTTACCCACATTTCCACCTTTGAATTTTGCAGACTTGATTATTTGTGCATATGATCAAAATACTCTCTCTAGGAATCTCTAGGTCACCTAGCATAATTATATAGTAAGTTTTTAAGAAGCTGACCATAAAACCACATTGGAAGATTTTAGAGATGCCTAGAGAGAACATCTCTTTAGGGTCCTGTAGGGTGATTCTTTGGATAGTTTGTGACAGAAATTGCCCAGATTCATACAGGAGAGTCTTGAGATTCCTAGAAAGATGTTCCCTCACGTTTAAAAAATACATTTCATTTGTAGTCTTTCCAATTTCAAGAGACTTAATCCCAGTAAATGTTTATGTCTAATAAGTGATACTACACTTGATCTTAGCCAAAAGGCCGAGAAGTCTAATAAGTGCTTGACTATTCATTGTATAGGGAAATGTGTTAGATGTAGTCAGAGTAAGCACTTGGTAGACTGGATTATTTGCAAGGAATGTTAAAATATATTCATTGTAGATGTTTCTCCTCCCTCCGCCCTCAGTCTTTTTCAGTTCTGCATTCGTGCTAAATCTCAGCATAAATATTCAGGAGAAAATATGCTGTAAATATTTACATTTATTCACGTTAATAGGAATAACATAGCTACGTCCCAATATGCTGTACTAAATATTTACACTGCTGTACTGGGTGGTAAATGCATTGGAGAACAGAGCTATCATTCTCAATGTTCACAAACAGTAAAATGTTCATGAACAGTTTGATTAACCAAGCAGAGCTTCATTTAAATGGGCAGAGGGTAGGCAGTTGAATGTAAGCGTTTTATGGCTTAAAGTTAGAAATAATTGTGGCATTAAATTACCAGTTTTCTGGCTATTTATTTACTCACCACAGCCTCAAAAAGCTTCTCTATGCAGTGGCAGTGGAGTGGATGATAAGCAATTAATTTATGGGACTACATACTCATTCATCCTCTTCTATGAAGAGGAGAGAAGAAAATCCTGGCTAATGCTATTTCAAACTAAATTATATATTTATTTTTCAATATCTAAATAGAAGACAATGTAGATTTAGGCTCCATCAGATTGGCAATTTTTGCCAATTTGTAGTGCACCTTTTAATGTTACTGCTTGAGATATCTTACCTTCTCCTATAATTTCTACAGACAAACAACTTCTGGGTGTTTTAGACCACCAAAAGAAGAAAAAAACCAACATATTTTAGTTGATTTGTGAGCATCTTGTTTTTTTGTTTGTTTGGTTTTTTTTTCATGTCAGGAGTGACCTGAGAAACTGCAAGTCACTTCTGGGGTGAGAGAATTGGCCATCTGCAAGGACATTGTTCAGGGGACACCTGGCTGTTTTGATGTTTTACCATCCTAGTGGGAGGCATCTTTCATGTCACCACATGGGGAGCTGGAGCTGACAGAGCTCTCTCTGGATTTGAACCTCCGACCTGTTAGTCTTCAGTCCTGCCGGCACAAGGGTTTAAATCACTGAGTCACCAGGGGCTCCTATCCTGGTTATGATGTTTGTGATAACCCTCTCACACATATCCCATTTTATCTTTCCAAAGTGCTCCCAAATGTGTTGCAACCTTTCTCCCCCAATGCCCTCTTGSCATTTTGAATTTTTAGAATTTTTTTTGAGAATGTAACACAAGTGCTATCATTTTTGTATAAAGGAACGAATGTATGATCTCCTTGATGGAACATTGTCCCCTTGACCAGACATTTCTCTTTTTACAACCATCAGCATCTCCAATGTCTCATGTCACATGATTTCTGTGATTTCACATCAGGGGTGGGGGGGGGGGGGTTTGCACCAAAGCAGCATATGGCTTATAGCAATAATACTACAGTTCTAGAGATGTATTTATTTATTCATTTATTTTAAAATGTTCTCTCCATGAGGGGGTAGTCATGTTACCTGGTGATGCATTGATAGATGAACATGAAATCACAGTAGACTAAAAAATCAGAAAATGTTAAAACCTCCAGGCCATGTTAAAGTTCACTGTTCCCTAATTAAATTCACTGCAATTATGTAGATTTGGAATTTAAAATATACTGAGCCATCCTGGGAAAGGACAAAAGTTTATTCTTCATCCTTCTCCTCTTCCTCCCCTCTTCTTTTTTTCTTCGTCTTCTTCAGCTTTTTATACAGGAACAAGAGAAACATCATTTAGATCCCCAAAATTAGGAAGGCAAATGCAGTGGAGCTTTGGTTCCAGGACACACACCATGGATACCAAAAATCCATGGATGCAGAAGTCCCATTATGTACAATGGCATCATAAATATAAGTCCGTTTTATAAAATGTCAAAATCAAGATTTGCTTTTTGGATTTTTAAAAATATTTTTCAAGGCATGGATGACTGAATCTGTAGATGTGGAATCCATGGATACAGAGATCTGACGGTCCAACAATGACAACTACTATGTTCTCAAATATTTAGCCTAGATGAAACCCTCGTCATATTAGACAAATGGAAAGAAGTTAGTTATGACAGCCTCTATGTCTCACTGATTTCAATAGATCTAACCCCTGAATGTATTTGTTCTGTTCTGACTTAGTTCAGTCCCTGTCAGTGAAGAATTCAGCAGAGAGAAGCCAAAGGTGAATAAAAAGAGGTCTGGGAAGTCTAAGTCTATTAGCACAGGGTCTGAAATGTCCTAATGGAGAGTATAGGATGAGAGTACTCTAAAGGCTGAAAGACAGGTAATCAATCAACATCAGGAGAGCCCAGGAGTTCAGCCGCAAACAAGGTACTCAGTAGCAAACAAGTTTGTAAAACAGACTAGGTCATGATAGGGAACCAGAGAGTACAAATAGAGATAGAAGAGTTTAGATCCTGGTGTTGTTTCCAGTACTAATAGAGCAATTGCACTGTTTATAAAGGTGAAGACTGCTGGCCCCACTCAGTGTCCCGGCTGATATATCAAGGCCTTCCTAGATTCAGTGCTTCTCAAGAGTGCTTTATTGTAGTCGAACAGTGCATGGAGAAAGGGGAGAAGGGAGAATAGAGGTTAGCTTCTTTTCTTTGTACTTCACTTTGGAGCTAGCTGGCTGTTCCTCACCCTGTTCTGCCTCAGACCTGCTGCAGAGCAGGAGATTGGCCTGAATAGTCTTTGAGTACCCAATTGGATAGGCTTCCTTCCTTTCATGCTGGCAGGAGCTGGTTTGTTCCTCATCTGATACGTCCTTGGGGAGTTATTACTCTTGTCCACATGCATGTAACATTAAACCAGTATTTCTCAACTGTGCTCCTTCAAGTGTTTTGTACTTCAGCTCCCAGAAATCCCAGTCATCTTACCAGCTCTTAGGAATTCTGGGAGTTGAAGTACAAAACATCTGGATGAGCCCAGTTTGAGAAACTCTGCATTAAACCCTAGGTTCAAATTGGATGTCATGAGGGAAGTTCAGCCACAGCAGAATATAGAAGTCCTAAGTTTTATTCTCCCATTCATATTGCCTAGTCAAACATCCCATTGCTAGACTTCTGAAATCCAAAACAATTATTAATCCAAAAATTTCCATATGAGTGATACTGTTGCTTTCTGGTGGTTGAATGTTCACAAACATTGTTCCATGCACAAATGTATTAAAATATTTTGTATAAAATTACCTTCATGCTATATGTATAAGGTGTATATGAAACATAAATTTTGTGTTTAGATTTGGGTCCCATCTTCATTATGTATTAGAGGGATGTGAAGTGGCTGAAATCTGATTAGTAAGTTGTTTCAGAGATTTGGATGGCTCCCGCTTCAGTTTGAAGGGACCCATTTTGATTAGTAATCGGAATCACCAAAGTTATTCCATTAGTGGCAATGTGAAAAAAATCAAGGCTTGTTTCTCTGTCATATTTATGGCTATCAGAATGAAACTTGGCACAATTGTAGGAAACATTTATAACTTTAAGCCTAACAAGATTCAGAATGTTTTGTTCATTCAGTGATTTTTAGATTTTTTTTAAAAAAAATATAAACTGCAAGAGGTACACACTTGAATTTATGGACAATGAAACAACATAGGCAGGGCATCAATTCTGCAATATTTTAGAAAGATTTGTTTGTCTACTGATTTTTAGGAGTTTTTGAAGTTTTTTCAATCAAAACATTTTAAAAACACTACAAAAGGTATCACCTTACATTATGATGCAGTGAGACAACACAAGCAGGTCAGCAAGATTACCAAGTTTCTAAATAATTAGTCCATCCATTGATTTTTAAAGATTTTTTTTCAATTTAAGCACATGTTATTAACCTAATCTCCTAATCACACTGGGGCTTTAACATGAGCATCACCATTCTTCTGGTGTGAGCAGAATTCTAGGAAATGTAGTTTAGGATGGGGCCTTTGAATACTCTGCTACAGAGAGCCTTGCCTTCCCAAACTACATCCCCCAGAATTCTGCTCATGCAAGAAGAATGGGGTTGTCAGCATAATAAGGCTGTAAATCACTTTCATATACATTAGACTTATAAGCAACAAGCACACAGTAAGCTGATCTAAGAAGGATTTAAGAACTGAGGGGAACTAAGAGCTGTAAAGTTTGGGGGGAGTATGGGAATTTGGAAAAATATAAGTTTGGAGTTGGATAATTTCAACAAACAAAGGTTATCAACTGGATATAAAGGGACAGAAACTAACAGAATTATCAAACATGCAGAATGAGCATCACATTTCTTTCTCTCTCTCCTACTGCTCTACAAAGAATCAGAAACAGAGATGCTGAGCGGAGGAGACCACCAGCTTTGCAGAAAGCCTTGTGATTGGCTTTCTTTTTGGCTCCTCTTCTTATTGGCTAACAAGGAAAAAAACACATGCACCTGTCATTATCAATCACATTGCCCCCTCCCACCTGAGGAAATTATGGAGTATGAAACACTCTGAAACAATAAATCTTTACTAATCTCTCCAAAATGTTTCAGAGGCTTCTGTTTTGATTCCTAATGGTTCAGAGGAGTCCCTTTCCAATTAGTAATTTGGAGATTCAAATTAATGAATCAGACAAATCACCAAATTACAAAACATAGCTCCAAAATTTTATACAGCCCTATTATGTTTTCATATGCAAATATAAACATTCCAAAATGTTGTATGCATGTCATTATGTATGCATTTACAAATACAAATTTTCCTCCCTCCCAAAAAGCAATCCAAAATCCCAAACACTTCTAGTTTCAAGCAGTTTGGATGAGGGATATTCAAACTGTAATAATAAATATAATCTCTGGTATCACAATGCTCCCTATATTTCCAAGCAGTAGCCACATAAATTAAGTTTGGAATAGAGAGCCTGGGTTATGTTGATATCTCACTATACTTTTTCAATTATTAGATGTTATGTGGAAGGCAGCAGAAGGAAATATCAGTGTTTGCCACAAGGGAGAAGAGCTGGTTGC